AATACTGTTGTGATTTTTGTTGCTTGTGTGCCACTTTTATTTCTCATTTTCACATGTTTTATATTTTCCAATTTGTAATTTCTGGGGGGAATTATGCTGAATATCTCCTTTATTGCCTCTTTCCTATAATAAACGAACGTTATAAATCTGTATTTCTGTTCTATAGAGCTAAAACTATTAACCAACAAGAGAAATCAGAGTTTAAGCTGCAAACATTATGAGTTTGAACCAAGAATAAGAATGAGATGGTTTGGATGTCTTCTTATTCTTTCCTTTGTTTGACATAGAATAGAAGAAATCTCAGACCTTGAGAGTCAATTAGTTTAGATTTAATGATCAATTTAGCGTGTGATTTATTTTTAGTAACTCTTCGGTAGTTAGCCTTCATTTCATCAAACATACTAGATCACCATGAATTGGTAAAGAATGATTTATGTTCTTAATTACAGCAGAGTCACTTGCATTGCTTACTTCTGCATTTGCAAGTTTTTGACCTTGTTTTCATGGCTTACTACAATGTAGAATTCACATTTTTTGGGGCCATCTTCTGTTTCTTTTAATGTAGGGACTAATCTTGGTTTTTCATTCTCTATTGTTCCATTTTGCTTTATCGATACTTGGTGCCAAATAGGTTTAATGGCAACAATTATTGTGTATCCCTGATGACGTAAAGTATGAAGAGCAGGCTCAAAATCAATGTCTCCTGAGATAAGTAAAATTGTTGCAGGCCTGCGATAATCCAGTGCAAATAAAAACATGTCAACCAAAATCGCCTTGTCGGCAGCATCCTTCCTCCCATTCGGAACGTGTACAAGATTCACACCTGTCCTGTTATAGGCCTCTGTTAGTCGCATCGGAGAAGAGCTAAAATCTCCATATGCTGATAACATTTTAACCGGTCCATTAATTGCCGGATGAGCTCCTAAAGCCAGCTCAATGTTCCCAGCAACATCTTCCGGATGTACATTTTTTGGTTTGGGACAATTCTTAATGCCCCAAAAAATGGCTACTATATTGACAAAAATTTAAAAGCAATAAATAAAAACCAAATTTTATTTATTATAAAATATTATTTTATCAATATAGGATCTGTAGCTGTTCTTTGGGGTCAATGTTCTAAAAAGCGTAAAGCG